TCTTTCAGCCTCCATGGTACCAGCTTTGCGTAAAACACAGATTTTGTGTTTTCCATTGAAATGAATGCGAGTTGCTTACATTTGCTCAGTGCAGATATGGCTGGCTATTTAAACATACTGCTTTAAAACTGTCCTCCACATAGGGGAGTGTTTGTGAGTCCTGTCTCCACACGTACTAGAGATATATTTCAGATATTGCGCATGTAATTATTCTCTCATTGATTCCAATGGGCGATAAGGAGTTTCATAGGATATCCAGCGACACATCCTATAAGCAAGATGAGAGTCACAAAATAACTGCAAAAGAGAGACATTCTAAGTATCTTTTTTTCTTCAAATTGCATATTATTCATGCATTGCCTGTGGCATATTGAGTATTAAAAAGGTGATAAAATTCACCATGGAATGTCCCTTTAAGAATGATTTCCTATTTTCCTTTTCAGTTAGTGGAAGGGAAGCTAGATTTTTGCACACAATGGAAGCAAAACAATAGTTGGAATTCAACAAATGTGCTGATACTGTAGGCAATATTGTCAGTCCAAGTGGAGTGCCATAAAATTGATTCAGGAAGGAAGGAAACAATGCTATGATCCTGATAATTTGAACCCTGGGATAGACAATTCGTACTGACTTTTTATGCTGATAAATATGCTGATATTGACATTCTTTAACAGTTAATGAATGTTGTAATTTATTTTTATATTCTACCATTTAATACAAAACTGCAACTTGTATGGACTACAACGTTATGCAACACTATATTCAAAATCAAGAAATATCAAAAGGTCTATATTCTGCAAATATATAGTATGACATAAATGTGTTTATGTGCATCGATTGTGTGTATATATGTGTATGTCAGTGTGTGTATCTGTGTGTTTGTGTGTATTTATGTGTATGTTAGTGTGTATCTGAGTGTGTGTGTGTGTATGTACTAGTGTGTATCTGTATTTCAGTGTGTGTATCTGAGTGTGTGCCAATGTGTGTGTCTGTGTGTATGTGAGTGTGTGTGTATGTGCCAGTGTATGTATCTATTTGTTTGTGCCAGTGTGTATCTGTATGTCAGTGTGTGCATCTGCATGTATGTGCCAGTGTGTATCTGTATGCCAGTGTGTGCATCTGCATGTATGTGCCAGTGTGTATCTGTATGCCAGTGTGTATATCTGTGTGTCAGTGTGTAAGTGAGCGTATGTGTGTGTATGCGCCAGTGTGTGTCTATGAGTCAACGTGTTCATACATGTTTGGTGGCTATGTGTGTATGGAGGGATGCAGTAGCTGGTGAAGCCACCTCGCTGAAATGCATTTTTGCATGTTGGGATGTCTGCCTCAGGGTAACCATAGCCATCAACTGTCCCTTCCGCCTAACCGCTGTCAGAACTAAACATCCGACTGACAGGCAGCTACACCAATGGGAAAGGGCCTGATAACATGTGATTGATGCTCTAGCTGACCAATCAGGAAGTTCAGAAAATGGAAGTGTGCACCTCAGAGGGTGTTGTTGTGTGGGGATTAGTGGTGGTTTAATGGACAGGCAGTGATACATTGAAAGCAGGAATCCCAGTAGGTAATGGAGGGAACATGTCTGCTGCCAGACTGACTGACATATCCCTGTAACTGAACTCTTCTCCATTCTTCCCCTCTCTAGTGAGAATTTACACAGAATGCAAACATCCCAAGTCTCTCGTAGGTTCCGGTAGGGACCTCTAAAGACAGAGGTAACAAGTCTGTTTCTATACCTACTGCTTGTCTTGTACAGAGCTGTAAATTAGACTAATTGCTTTTGCACATATGTTCCATTTGCAAAAATCATCTGTAATAAAACTGCTACTTCTGAGTAGCACATAGAATCTGCACAGGCAGCAAGGACCTGCTGTCTCTCAGGGCCACATTTATTCTCCTCGAATGAAAAAAACAACACTTTGAGGGCAAATTTTGAACGCTGGTGCTAGCTTATGAATGTAGTGTATGAATGTTGTTTATAATGTGTGAATGCTGTGTGCAAGGTTTGAGAGGTGGGTACGGTGTGATTACAGAACGCAGTGTAAGAATGATGTGTGCAGGATGTGAATGCTGAGTGGACGTTTGGGGGCTGTGTAGAATGCAGTGTAAGAATGATGTGTGCATGGTGAGAAAGTTTGGGGGCTGTATAGAACGCAGTGTAAGAATGATGTGTGCAGGGTGTGAATGCTGAGTGGACGTTTGGGGGCTGTGTAGAATGCAATGTAAGAATGATGTGTGCATGGTGTGAAAGTTTGGGGGCTGTATAGAACGCAGTGTAAGAATGATGTATGCAGGGTGTGAATGCTGAGTGGACATTTGGGGGCTGTGTAGAATGCAGTGTAAGAATGTGTGCATGGTTGGAAAGTTTGGGGGCTGTATAGAACGCAGTGTAATAACGATGTATGCAGGGTGTGAATGCTGAGTGGACGTTTGGGGGTGTGGAGAAATCAGTGTAAGAATGATGTGTGCAAGGTGTGAATTCTGAGTATAAGTTTGGGGGCTGTGTAGAACTCAGTGTAAGAATGATGTGTGCATGTGAGAAAGTTTGGGGGCTGTATAGAACGCAGTGTAAGAATGATGTGTGCAGGGTGTGAATGCTGAGTGGACGTTTGGGGGCTGTGTAGAATGCAGTGTAAGAATGATGTGTGCATGGTGCAAAGGTTTGGGGGCTGTATAGAACGCAGTGTAAGAATGATGTATGCAGGGTGTGAATGCTGAGTGGACGTTTGGGGGCTGTGTAGAATGCAGTGTAAGAATGATGTGTGCATGGTGTGAAAGTTTGGGGCTGTATAGATCGCAGTGTAAGAATGATGTATGCAGGGTGTGAATGCTGAGTGGACGTTTGGGGGTGTGGAGAAATCAGTGTAAGAATGATGTGTGCAGGGTGTGAATTCTGAGTATAAGTTTGGGGGCTGTGTAGCACTCAGTGTAAGAATGATGTGTGGTAATAATAAAGAAAAAAGAGGGATGGAACAGGGTTATCCAAACTGATCACAATGGGGAGAGGGAGGCTGCATACATGAAAGGAAGAGTAACCCTCAAAATCCTTCAAAGGACTGGAAAAACAGAAAACAACAAGTACAGGGTGCACCAAGAACAAAGTAAATAAATAAAATAAATAATATTAAAATCTCTAATTCACAGGTATATTCTTCAGAAATTCTCAAGATGTCTTGGGTCAAATCTTCATCAGCATATATGAAAGAGAAAAAAAACACACATAGGGGACCAATGGTGCAGTAACTTAAAGGAGTGTGGCCACAGACAACACTGAGATTAAGAAATGCCAACTCACATTTATGGGAGCTCTAACCAGCTTGAATTAAAACAGCATACAGTGGTATTTAAAATGCCAACTCACATACATGGGAGCTATAACCAGCTCGAATTAAAACAGCATACAGTGGTATCAGGGCCGGCGCTACCTGTTAGGCGTTCTAGGCAGCCGCCAGGAGCGCCGGCCCCCCTCATGCTGCAGCCGCCTGAGCGCTCTGTAGAGAGCCTCAGGCAGCTGCAGCTTTGCCTGGGCTGGTGCGTCCATGAGGGCGCACCGCCCGGGCGCAGCATGAGGAGAGGGGCTGACAGGAGGGAAGAGCTCAGCGCTCCCTCCTGTCACTCCCTCACTGTAGTGTGGCCAAGCTCTGTATGGTCCACGGGTACAGGGAGCATCTGTCTCCTGTACCCGGCTGGACTAACAGGAAGTGCACACTGAGTGGGGGAGGGAATACATTGAAAGGGAGGGGGAATAAATTGAAAGGGGGAATAAGTGAAATGGAGGGTAGGGAATAAATTTAAAAGAGAGGTGGGAATAAATTGAAAGAGGGGAAAGTAACAGGGGGAGGGGAATAAACAGAAAGAGGAATAAATGGACAGGAGAGGGAAAGAGGGGTGAGGCGAATAAATTTAAAGGGGAATAAGGGGGGAGGGGGGAATAAATTGAAAGGGAGAATAAATTGACAGGGAGGTGGGGAATGGAGTGAAGGGGAATAAATTGACAGGAGGGAGGTGGGGGGAATAAATTGAAAGGAGGTGGGGAGATAAAAAGGCTGACAGGGAGGAGAGGGAATAAGTGAAAGGGGAGGATAAATGACAGGGAGGGTGGGGGAAATAAATTGAAAGGAGAGGGGGAAATAAATTGACAGGGTGGTGGGGGGAAAGAAACAGACAGGGAGGAGAATTGACGGGTAGGGAGGGGGAATGAGAATGGGGAGGGAAGAAGAGAGTGACAACGGGGGAGAAGAGAGTGACAAGGGAGGGGGGAGATGAGAGGGACAAGCAGGGGGGGAGAAGAGAGGGGGGGAGATTGACATCCATCACAGACACACAGAAAAACACATAATGCATTACACACACAGACACACACACACAAGCGATGCAACCCTTACACACAATGCATCCCTTATACACACAGAAACACACAATGCATTCCTTACACACACTCAATGCACCCCTTACACACACTCAATGCACCCGTTACAGACGCACACACTGCATCCCGTACATACACAGAAACACACCTTGCAGCCCTTACACATACAAACAGAGATTCACACAATACATTCCTTACACACATATCAGGACATCCCCCTACTCCACCCCCTGTGAACAAACTCATTGGTGGAACATGAAGGTGGACCCTGGGACCCAGACCTTGAGCTTTGTAAAGGGCTTTAAAAAAAATGGAGCTGCTTCCCGTTCTCCCAGAACATTGATTTTTGTGACCACAGTTACAAACAGCCTCCAGAGAGCCTGTTCTACACCAGACCAGTGGAGCCAGACTGCAGCTAGAGCCCATCATCATCCTCATCTGGTTGTAAGTAGGCAATCTAGTATATTATTCGTGGCACTAATCTCTAATTTACCTCACATTAAAAACACTATAGTCCCCAGAACCACTTGATCTTAATGTAGTGGTTCTGGTGTCTATAGCCTGTCCCTGCAGGCCTTTTAATGTAAACATGGCGGCACTGCAGCACTGGCGTTAGTTAACATGGCAGATCATATGGGTGGGGCATAGAGATGTCACATGGGGGGGGGGGAAGCCAAACTTTACTTTTGCCTAGGGCGGCAAAAATCCTTGCACCGGCCCTGAGTGGTATTTAAACTCCCCACATGTAGAATATTCCTCTGACGATATCATCATAAAATATACTTATATAATGTCCAGTGTAAGTGTCAGTGTAGAGATATATCCAAATGAATAATCTTTGTCTAAGGATATTTTCACGCTGTGTAAGGGTTTGTGCTGATAAAGGGAAATGGATCCTCTTTCACTCCGTATCTTTGTATCTGCTCGGCTACTTTGTATCAACCTTAAAAAATAAGGATACTTAACATAGCGTAAAACAGTAACACATTTATTTCCCAAGCATAAAAAACCCTTACATAAAAACTCTTACAAGAAAATATAGTGAACACTTATTTCTAAGTTTCACAAAATAAGCAGTGGTACAATGAGGTGTACTCGCCGGTAGAAGATCGTGTGCTGCTCTGTATGTCAGTCCTGTGCACTTAGACCGATATCGTTGCAGAGATGTCAGCTCTTCTGTCCTACCACATTGGTTCCTGCAGGTTTCAAAAAAATCAATCCCGCCACTTTCATCAATGTGTTTCGTCCGTTGAAACCGGACTTTCATGGGTGTATTAACAGTGTGTGATATGCGTGTATTGGTTGTATGTGATGTGCTGGGTTTATTGGCTGTGTGTGATGGGTATTTAATTCAGATAAAAACATGCATTTAGGCCTGTGTGTGAATGCAGGTGTATATTTTTGCAGAGTTATGTGCACACATTTCCACAGTCAGATGCACACAGTTATACATATACACTGTCAAATACACCACATGCACATAGTCGCAGGCAGATAGTCACATACACAGGATCAGGCAGAAACACACAGGTAAAGGCAGTAACACTCACACATACAGATTTACACACACACAGCCACACATCCAGTCTTACACACACATACTTACATGCAGATCGTCACACACACACACACACACAGCCACATACACACACAGGCAGCCACATACATACACACACAGGCAGACAGCCACACACACACACAGGCAGACAGCCACACACAGGCAGAAACCCACACACATACACGAAGGTAGACAGCCACACACACACTCACACACAGAGGCAGCCATCCACACACACAGGAAGACATCCACACACACAGAGGCAGGCAGTCACACACACACAGGCAAACAGACACAGACAAACACACACAGGCAGTCACTCACACACACAGGCAGACAGTCATACACACAGACACACACAAACACATACAGGCAGTCACACACACACAGCCAGACAGTCATACACACACACAAACACACACACACAGGCAGACAGTCATACACACATAGGCAGGCAGCCACACACACACACACACACAGGTAGACAGTCATACACACACGCACACACACAGAGACACAGAGGCAGACAGTCGCAGACAGTCACACACACACGGGCAGACAGTCACAGACAGTGACACTCACACTGACAATCACATAGTTACCTCTGTTCATTGTAGAGGCAGTGCAGCTCCTGGAGACTGTATGTTGGAGGAAGCAGGGACTCCTTCCTGCTTCCCCTGCAGCACTTATCCGACACTTTTAGCTCCGCACCCGCCGCACGGGAAGCACTGCCCCACCGCACGGGAAGCTCCGCCCCCTCCCCCCAATTTTTTTTTTTTACATTACGGTTGGCTGTGCGGCCCCACGGCGCCCCCTGCTCCATGGCGCCCTGTGCACAGCTCGCACACCCCTAAGGCCGGCCCTGCCTATAGGAGAGAGCAAGAGATAGGTATGTTCCTGAAGGCCCTTCTTAAATTATTGAAAACTTGGGGAGAGTCTGATGGCGGTGATTGAAGACTAGGGGAGAGAATGATGTGTGCATGGTGTGAAACTTTGGAGGCAGTGTAGGCTGTGGGTACAGAAGGCAGTGTAAGGATGCTGTGTGCAGGGTGTGAATGCAGATAGCGGTATTTGACTGTTGTGTGCTGAGTGTGACTGCCAAGGACAGAGTATTAATGTTGTGTTTAGGGTGTGAGTTCAGATCGCAGGGTACAAATGCTATGTGCAGGGTGTGAATTCTGTGTGCAAGGTTTGATATCCGTGTGTAGGATGGAAGTGCAATATGCAGGGTAAGTATGATGTGTGCAAGCTGTGAATGCGTTGAGGTCAGAGTCCAGGGATGTGTGCATTACGTGAATATCTGGTGGAATTCACAATATAGCTAAGAAGTGATCATAAGAAAAATGCAGGCTACAGTTATGGACAAAGCCAACCATGCTGGCCTGCTTAACAGCAGGCCTGACATGTAGAGATCCAAGACTAAAAAGGGACGTTAACCCCTTAAGCACCTCCAACAATGTAAATGCCAATATCCTATTCCTATCTATATGAATAATTAGGAAACATTAATATCAACAAAACAATTCAAAAATGATCTGGTCCTCATACTACTAATATTACTTACAGTTTTAAACTTCAGGGTTGAAAGTTTAAATGTCAGCTGCCGGAAAGAAACTTTTGAGTAATTCAAGTGTTGATGATGGCCTCCAGAATGAGGATATAAAGAAATGCTGTAGCTGCAATTGTTAGAGCAGAAAATGATGATGGTTTAAAAAAAATGGGACACATGTTTTCTTTTACTTATGAAAGCTATTTGGTGGAAAAAAAAAAAAGCTTTTTGAAACAACACCATTTTCTAAAACAACACTATTTTTTAGCATTATCAGAGTAACAGCTATGGAAAATAAGTGTTTTATCAGTGACATATTAGGACACTCTGTACTTTGTTTAGAAATGACATTTTTTTTTTCCTAAGACTGCTCAGATGTTACATTCTGTCCCAGCAAAGTTCTTTTCATTCCTATGAATGAAGTAAATAAACAAAATATTGTACTTTGTTAAGAGAGAAACAGTACAAAAATAAGAAAATAATAATGTGCTTGATAAAGAACTTAGGGTCGAAACATTGTTTTTTGGTTCGTGGGTCCAATAAAATTGCCTTTTTGGGATACTTTGGAGTGCCTGAATTACTTTCCACTTTTCTACTTATACATTTGGTCTCCTGGTACTGGGAATGATCCGGTTTAGCACCCAAGGATTCCTTAGGTGAAGGGTCTGAGTGCACTTCCACAATCTATACATATTTTTTTTACTAAGACTGCTCAGATGTTACATACTGTCCCAGCAAAGTTCTTTTCATTCCTATGAATGAAGTAAATAGACAAAATATTGTACTTTGTTAAGATAAAAACAGTACAAAAATAAGATAATAATGTGGTAATAGGAACATGCAGGGACATACATCTCTGTTGTCCAGTAAGGCCTCAATCATTATTTATACCTTTCAGGTGGTCAGGAAATTGGGAACACAGTGGCCACAACATACAGATTTTGTCAGGTTAGGAAACAAACAAAAAATGCTTTAAAACTCACTTGCAGTTTTCCACTTCAGATTTTTATTTATTTATTTATTTATTTTAAATCTTTTTTTTCAGTTTTATCGGGTACATAAAATTTAGGAAAATAGACAAGATACTAATGACAAAGTAATGACTCGCACCAAATGTAAAAAACCCACTATATTTAATGCAGTTGGCCTATCGACTGATATGTTCATTTGAATGTGAGCGAGGGGTTCAGGAATAAGTTAAACTGTGAGTGCATTGCTTCTCTGATAAGGCAGACAGGCTGGGTGAGACATGTATTAAGTGTTGGCTTTTTGTAAGATGTTGATTGATGTCGCCTGAGATAATTAGTAATATTCACTTGCTTCGCCTACAGAGCCTCCCCCTCAGGTGTAGGGGATGAGCTACAGAGTGAAATATAGTAAGACTGAAATCCACAGGCTAAGATGTCAGGAAACCGTATAAGAGAATTACTAGGTGTGTGAATCCTGTGACACTGCTGTTGGCACTTGTGAAGCACACAGGCCAGCAGATGCCTCCATTTGTTAAACTATCCATAAAAAAATAGTTTGAACCACTGGAATAAGTGAAATGATTTTTGGGCGAGCGTTGTGTTTAGTTGTCTACGAGCCGTGATCAAAGCCCCATACATTAAGTCCGTTAGTGAGCGTTTACGCGCTGCCTCCAAATTCGCAATGCGTTTAATGAGTTCCGCCATGTTTATTCATGTTTTTATCCATTCCCCACAGAAATTAAATTACAACACACTTGTGTGCCTCGCAGACCATAAAGCAAGAGCACTTCCTATTAACCTGCACTACTCTCCCCAAAACATTAATGTTCGAAACCCTAAACCACTACAATCCATGCATTCTGTCTGATATTCTCTATGCTTACCCTTTCCGCAAAGCAGTGAAACAGACAATGGGACTTTATTCCATTCTGCTATGAAGACCCTGAGGACTCCCAACATTAATTTATCATCAATCTTTGTAGGAAGGAGGGTTTGGCCACTTCTACGTTAAACTTTGTGGTTGTTTTAGAAAAATACAAAAAGAGAAAAAAATTATACGTTCAAAAAGCTACATGACATAACAGAGAGAGAATACAAAACCCAAATACACAAAAAGAAAAAAGCATTGTCTAACATGCTTTATGTCTAACATGACATTTACTCATAGACTTGGGGTTTCTTTCTCCTCCTTCTATATCTTTATATAAGTAACAAAATATATTAGTACATAAAGAATCAACAACCCGCAGTGAACATGTAAACAATAAAAAATATATACAACCATTAATAAGGTCTAATGATAAGCGACCTAAAATAAGATAAAAAATAACAACATAGTGAGAAACGTAAAAAAAAACCATAATGTAGTAGGAATACCACTCACATGGCCCAGAGTCATACCAGGCTCTGTATAACATGCTCGATGGTGCCAATACTGGCTACGAAATCCACTCTTCACTTCCCAGTAATAGGGGAAAAAACAGAACTTCCGATGGATTTCAGAAGTGTATTAAAATATTATATATTTTATTCAAGATACAATAAAAAGTGTAAACAATGTTAGAAAAACCCCCCAAATAAAGCCCTGGGTACTGAACTAGATTGGCGGTGGAATGATTTATAAAGAATGAAAATTCATATATTGTGTTTTATGACTATAGATAAGGTCCATTCAGTATTCATAATAAAATATAATGATGAGTGGTAGAGACTACAGTTTTAAAATGCATATAGATTAAATCTACCATTACTAAATTTAGCTTGGGTATGTAGTCATATTAAA